GGTAGGGTATAAAATAATACACTGGCAATTGCAGTGACAGTAGCCAAATGTCAAGTCTTTTGATGGACTTGAAGAAAGTGGTGATTGTTTATTGTAAGGCAAAAAAAAAAATAGTGACTATGAGAATTAGAACCCAAGAGTAATATAGATAGAAAGGTCAAGAAGATGAGAAAGTCAGCACTTCATGAATAGATTGAATTTTGCTTTTTTTCTTTATAAAAAAAATGAAAAATCTAGTTAATAATAATGGATGATAAATAATTGATATACATACGACTATTTGAAATTTCATAACGCAGCACGTATAGCATTTGAGAAAATAGTGTACTGCAAAACAGGATAGAAGGAAGGTAGGTATTGTTTTTTTTAACTGTGTCCAGTTGAGAAGATTTCTCTTAGCTTTCTATCTCAAAGACACAACAGGAAGTGAAAGGAAATCTCACAAAGTAAAACAGTTGTCAATGGAACTGATGTACCAAGGACACAGGGATGAATCTACTTAGACTGCAATAAAAACTAGACAGTGGGTGTAATCTTTCCCTTTCTCTTAAAAGCTACAAAAATATTTTTTATATACATGCACTTTAAATATGGCTTTACTTTAAAGTGAGAGTGTTTACTCTCACTTTAAAAGTATGACCATATTTAAAGTGTTGAATTTTACTTATAGGTAAGCCTATAACAAAGGATACCTAGAGGTACGTTAAATATCTTCTATATGTGCACCGTTTAGGAGATATTTATTCTGGCAGCAGTCAGTGACTTCAAACCCTGGCAGCAGCCCATTGTCGCAAAGAGTGACTCCTGGAGGCTGCTACTGAGGTGACAATATGCCGCTGGAGTACTAAGTTTTCTGGTAAGTCTGTCATAATGTGCTAGTATATTATGAATGAAACTGCCCAGGGCCCCAATTTTTTTTTTTTTTTTTTTGCTGTTGTTTACTACAGCTTTAAAGTGGTTTTAAAGGCAGAAGGTTTTTTAACTTAATGCATTATGTATAAAGGGGGGGGGGGGGTCTGCACCCCACCTTATACTTACCTGAACCCCATTTCGATACAGCAATGTGCAAGAGAGTAGAAGCTCTCCTGGGTCTCTCACTCCTCATTGGCTCACACAGCAGCGGAAACCATTGACCACTAACTGTCAATCACAGCCAGCGAGCCAATGAGGAGAGAGTGGGGGGGGGAAGGCCAAGGCTCACCCTGTGTGTGAATAGACAATGTCCATGCACAAGAGTGCAGCTTGGGGGAAAGCCTGTTGGAATGCCCCATAGCATGAGGCTTGGGGGCACTCGGCAGGAGGGAGGAGTCAGGGCCACTGGTGGCGGACCCAAAAAAGAGCAGGTAAGTATACCATGTTTGTTATTATTATTTTTTTTAATTCTGAAAAAATTGATAGCCTTTAGAATCACATTAAGCTGTCTGGCTGGTAAATGTAAGTCTACCAAATAAAATTACTTCTTATCATGTTCTCAGCATCTACGCCACACGTCACACTTGTATTTATCAATAATGTATTCATTATTTGATTTTCACATTTACTCTGAATGCATGGTGTTCCACCAGTTCTAAAGTCCAAAGTTTTTAAAGGAGCTACCCCCAACCTCCCAATCTTTCATAAAACTGCATGATCCATAACAAATATCAGTAATCTGCACACAGATTTTCAGATGTTTTTGTCCCAGAAAGTACAGTGAACACACATAGCATGAATGCCAAGATTCAATGCCAGGACTTAGTGATGTGTTTTTACTGTTTATGAGAAACTTCACTGCATTCCTGGCAAACAATACTCCCCTGATATTTATTCCTAATGAAATTGCCTGGTACCATAACAGAGTTTAGAATGCTGGCAAAGCGTCCATACACTGCTTGCATTATTGGTGAGCTATATTAACAGGCCATCTACAGCCTGAAAAACTTTATTCCCATTGAGCATGTTGTTTTCTGTTGCTACGTTTCTGATGTCAAGTGGTTAATATTTTGTTGTCTCTGTTTCATTGCTAGCATTTGTGCTTATTGTCCCACTAAATCAAGATAATATACGATCAAGGAAGCATTGAAAACCCGCAGTTCAGTTTCTCTAATTGTGAAATAATTGCACCTAGGGAAAAAGAATCTCTTGATGGAGTAAATATTGGGGGGGGGGGGGGTACATTGTTGGCCTGAACTACACAGGAAAAAAAATGGGGGTACCCATTTAAGATTATGAGCAAACAGTGTGGCCAGGCAGTGGAAAAAGAGAATAAAATTCTAGGATGTATCACTAGAGGGATCGCCAGCAGGAGGAAGGAAGTCCAGATTCCTCCATATAGATCTTTAGTTATCTCTCATTCAGTCACAGAGATCTATGAATAAATAAACTGCAAATCCTGTACACCAAGGCATATGGACTTGTAGTTTGCAGTGGACTATGAGTGAGGTGATAACTGCACCTGTAGTCCATTGACACTTGCAGCTTTCTAACTGTAAGCCCATAAGAAGTTATGGGCAGACAGCAGGAAGATGGGTGTGCTGGAGCCGGACAATGCATCTGGAATCCACTGATCATGGCCCCAATGCTTTTCAGGAAAAAAATAAATTCACATAATTTCCTGCAAAAATATGTGTATTTATTATTTTTTCTTAAGGGTAAACACAACCTTTAGCCCTTGCAGTGTGTGTGTGTGTGGGGGGGGGGGACCCTTTTCACATTGTGTCTGGAGTTGGACTTTAATGCTTGCTTGTCCTCTGGATCCTGAATGTCTCCAGATCTCGAGCACAAAAGCATGACAAGGACCCAGTGGACAATAAGATATGGATAACTATAAAGGATTTGGTGTCAACCAGGGTATAAATATAAATAATAGTGAAAATAACTGAAGGACTCCCTTGCTCATGCTGTAAAGCAGAAATCCAGTTACAAATTTTATTTTCCCATGCAGTGGGGCTGTGACCACTCTGCATGGGTTAACTGCTTGTTTTGTCTAAGTGCTCAGGGTAAAGCTATACTTACCCATTCCTCCGACCCTCTGGAAAACAGTGCTCCCCCACGTCCAGTGGTGGTCTGTTCCTGCTGTCCTCAAGTCCGGAGCTGGTCTATGGGCGTGATGACATCAGGAACAGCCCATTCACAAGACCGCTATGGGGGGGGGGGGGGCAGGAGCACTGGGGACCATCTTGTGCTCAAAGGATCAACAGATTACATAAGTATATCTTTACTTCTGAGCCCCTAGACAAAAATGATGAGCATTTAACCCATGCACTGCATGCACAGCCCCACTGCATGGAAAAAATAATAAAATTGCCAGGATTTCTTCTTTAAATACAATGCCACTACTGTGGTCTGTGACATTTTTTACACTGATAAAATACAACATGGTAATTCCTATCCTATATTTTTTTTTTTTCATAATTGTATATAGATCCATTTTGAATTGAACTGCTTCTTACATGCTCTGGTTGCTTGGAGAAATATTCAGTTAGAATGTGCTGTAAAGGGATTATATAATGTGCTGTGGCTATGCACTTGGGGTCAACCTAAGAGCCACCATAAGACCTAATGTTGATGCACCTTTACTGATACAATCTCCTACTTTCAGAGCAGAAGTGTTTATGGTTGGTTATAACACAATTACATGCACACCTAGACCTATACAAAAAATGAAGCATGCAAAGTGATTGCTCAGACATATTTCCAGGCAGTAGATGGGGTGTGAGTACCTAGGTATGTGCAAACAATTTCCAATCAGTAAACTATTCATGTTGACCAAGGACCCTTGTCTTGCAGCATGCATTAAAGAAAGAACAGATGCAAATTTAATAGGCCTATGTCTTGACACACCTGTATGATAAGAATGAGGAAATATGCCCCTAGTGTTAAGGTTTCCATGGTGAATTCACACATTTAATTTCACACTTGCTCCTCTAATTGGAATCACAAGTGAAAATGTAAAAAATAGCCAAACTCTGTCTAGATGAAACAAATCTCTTTTTTTTCTATAAGGAATTAAGGATGATGCTTTGTAATCCCAGACCGTTCAATGTAAATTCTGCCAACTACAAGCAAATTAGTACTGAGTCTAATGTGTATCCTTCTCCCGCTACATCACCAGTGTAAAGGTACAGCTATTTTAACATAAAATCTGTCAAAGCCATTCCATTCTACGGTATCTGGAAGTGGCTTTTCAGGCAGCTTTCTCCTCCGCAGGGATCCAAGAGCCAAACAAGGACAGAAGTCATTATGGAATAGGAGGCAAAGAAGGATTTATTTCTTTACGTTCTCTCATTTCCACAAATCTGGAAGGGGTTTGGAAGTTTTAGCTTAGCAAAATTGTAATTATTAATTAGTAGATTTAAGCAGGAAGCTTTGGAAAAGAAGGAGTAGAAACATCTAAAAAGTTCATAAAGGTCAAGAAGAACAGTGTAAAAAAAGGTTCTTTTTACACAGCAGTTAAAGTGATATTAAACCCTCAGTTTTTAAGCACTTTCCGCAGCTGATTTAAAGCCCAACCTTGGGCAAGTAAAAGCATTATCTCTTGCAGTGCAGCTGGGCCTGCACTGCAGGTGTTAACCACTTGCCTACCGGGCACTTATACCCCCTTATTTAGCCAGGCCAATTTCAGCTTTTTGATTGACAATTGCGCGGTCATGCAAGATTGTACCCACATGAAATTTTTATAATTTTTTTTTCACAAATAGAGCTTTTTTTTGGTGGTATTTAATCTCTTCTGGGCACTTTACTTTTTGTGCTATAAGCAAAAAAAGAGCAAAACAATTTGAAAAAAAAAAAAAAGTTTCTTTGTTTCTATTATAAAATTTTTCAAACAGGTAATTTTTCTCCTTCACTGATGTGCGTTGATGAGGCAGCACTTGATGGGCACTGATAGGCAGCACTGAAGGGCACTGATAGGCGGCACTGATAGGCAAGCACTAATAAGGTGGCACGGATAGGTGTCACTGATATGCAGCACTGATTGGTGGCACTGAAAGGCGACACTGATAATGGGTACTGATAGACAGCACTGATAGGTGGCACTGACTGACATCACTGCTGGGTACTGACTGGCGGCACTGCTGCGCACTGACTGGCACAACCGCTGGGCACTGACTGGTGGCACTGACTGGCAGCACTGCTGGGCTGCACTGATGGGTGGCACTGGTGGGCACAGGTGGGTGGCACTGGTGGGTACAGGTGGGTGGGCACAGGTGGGTGGCACTACTAAGCACAGGTAGGTGGCACTTTTGGGCACAGGTGGTGACACTGCTGGGTGGCACAGGTGGGCGCACTGCTGGGCACAGGTGGGTGCATTGCTGGGCACAGGTGGGCGCACTGTTGGGCACAGGTGGGCGGAACTTGTGTGTGGCACTGCTGGGCACCGATCATCAGGGCACTGATGATCAGTGACCCTGATGATCGGTGCCGATCCCCGCTCTGACAATTGCCGGTTTTCGGCAGCACTTTCCTCACGATCTGACAGCGTGAGGAAAGTGCAGCCGAGAACCGGCATTTGCATTTCCTGGTGATCAGCGTGTCATTGGACATGGCTGATAACGTGGTAAAAAGGCCGCTGTGATTGGCCTTTTACCACGTCACGTGATCAGCTGTGTCCGCAGGAGAGCGCTTTCGGGGAGGACGTCATTCGGCTATCTGCGGTCGGCAGGTAGTTAATTACTTCATTTAGGTCTAGAGGAACAAAAAAATATTTATTTACCCGATCCTCCCCATAGCTTCCTCTAACCCATGCTCCAGCAGTCTAGAGTCCTGACGTCATCAAGACCAACTTTGGGAAACTTAAAAAATTAGCTGTTGCAGTGGAGCTGTGTCTGCACTGCAAGGGTTATTTACTCATTTAGGTTTAGAGGAACAAAAAAAAATGTATTTACCCAATCCTTCGCTCTTCCCCATAGCTTCTTCTAAATGCTCTGGTGATCTAGGGTCCTGACACCATTAAGACCAAAGAAAGGCCCATAGCTCTGCATGGGATGCAGTGATGCCGAGGAACAGTCCTCAGCCAGAACATGGCTGAGTGCCATCTGTTGGAGGAGCAGAGGTAAAACTATTTCTCCTTTTCTCTAGACAAATGAGCTATTACCCTTGCAGTACGAGTGCAGCTCCACTGCATAGGATCATTTTAAATTTTCACAGATTAATCACTTACTGAGTATGCAGTTTCTTTAAGTTTTATTCTTTGCCTAGGTTCAAAATTAAAGTGATATTAAAGGCTCAAATAAAAAAACAAAAACAAAAGTGTCTTATTTATTTGCTCTGTGCAATAGTTTTGCACAAAGCAGCCCTGATCCTCATCTTCTCAGGTCCCCCGCCAGTGCTCCTGGCCCCTCCCCCTCAATCAGTGTAGAGGAGGAGGGACAGCCAACAATGGCTGTCCCATAGTAAGCCTATGGATCAGGGGCGGACTGACAACTCATGGGGCCCCCAGGCAATAGGGGATCATGGGGCCCCTGTGTCCTTGCCCAAACTCAAAAAAGCCTATGAAAAAGGTACCAGGAGCATCTCGTGGGGCCCCCTACTGACCCCGGGACCTCGGGCAGTGCCAGAGTTTCCAAATGGTCAGTCCACCCCTGCTATGGATAACATCATTTCCCAAGCTTTGCAGCCATTGTCCCTGCCTCTCCCCTACACTGAAGCCGGCGATGGAAGCCGATCATGTGACCAGACCAGAGTGGCTTCAGAATAGGTAAATATAGGCATCTTTTCTTTTACAGGGTAGATAAAAATAATCTTAGAATGGGGGTGGGAGTAGATTTAGGCTCAGTTTGGGTTTGACTGGAATGCCACTTTAAGACTGGGGAAGAGTGGGGGTCTGACTAGGTCTCTATATTAGGTGCAATATACAATGTGCTCAGATTTTGGTGCATTTTGCAGTGCAGAGACATAATTAAACACAGGGGGTTGATTTACTAAATGCCGTTGAGCTGTCCACTTTGCAAGGGAATATTCCCCATGGTTGCACATGATTGGATAATGAAAGTCAGCAGATCTTTACGTCATTCATTAAGCTCCGGGGAAAATTATCTTGTAAAGTACAACTTCCCTTGCAAAGTGGACCATCTATTTGCCTTTTGTAAATCAATCCTACACTGTTCGATTGCAATAAGTGCCGGTTGATACTGATCCGGTGCCGAATTTCCACACCGCATCAAAATTGCACCCTGTTCATGGGAACCACTGTGGGTGTGTAAGTTAGCGACACCCCTAAATTGAAAAACACGGTGAGATTTGCAGAATCTGATCACAACGGTGTGAATACCCAATCGATACTAACAATAAAAATCCTCCTGCGCTCAATGGAATCCCTAAAAGGTCAGAAAGCCGCTAACACTCAACCTGATACCCAACAGTAGATAATCAATAAAAAAAATAGTGCAGCGCTAACTATATAACATCATGATGAGAAGAAATATAAAACTCTGATTAATGATAATAATCTCAATAATCACAATATAAAAATCACACATCCAATGGTGCAATAGGGTGACCCAATCATGAGATCATAAGATGGAATGAATCACAGTAGACTAGACGTGACCCCAAACCCACTCACTAATGTGAAAAGTGAGCATTAAATCAGTATCACAAGTGAAAAAAGTCCATACATAAGATAATGATGCTTCACTCCATGCGATAGAAATAATGCAAGTTATCACACAATACACTTCAAGTGATGGTGAGTGATAATCCTCCTGTGGCTAAATTTCCCCCTCACCTCCACTCTGCGGCCCAAAAGGACCTACACGCCTTTAAGATCACTCAGGATCTTGATCCACACAATGACAGATATCACCAGCTGCTTTCCTATGGACCTCTCATCCGGTAAGGTAGATTCAGGATAGACTGGCTCTTGGTCTCAGCGAGTATAGCCCAAAACCTATGTTTTAACTGGAAAATTAGGGGGTCGTCTTATACACCCAGTCGCCTTATACGCCGGAAAATACGGTAGTTTTGTGGCATATTATGCTATGAGAGATTCTTCCTGTGTATATATCATCCGGGTGAGAGGTATACCCTGCTGAGACCAAGAGCCAGTCTATCCTGAATCTACCTTACCGGATGAGAGGTCCATAGGAAAGCAGCTGGTAATATCTGTCATTGTGTGGATCAAGATCCTGAGTGATCTTAACCTCCGTAGCGGTATGATTATTTCAGATTTTTGGTGCTGAAAGCGGTACTTCAAGGGCGGGTACCATTATTTTGCATGGAAATATGTATTTTTTTTTATTGTAGGCTGTAATTTTTAGGAATAACTCACTGAAATCTGTCCGAACAAGAGTCTATTAAACATCCCGGGTATGATAAAATTTGAAACACGAAATCATAAATTATAATTTAATAAATAATCATAAAAAATTATAATATAATAATAATACATTTAATTCAATAATATAATCAAACCGAAAACACTGAAATTTGAAATAGAGCGCCAAGTTTGCACATTGCTGAGCAAAGTTGCAAAATCGTTTTCAGTGTCTGATGATGAATTTCCCCACGAATCATTATCACTCAATTCTGCAAGTGGTTCTGATTTACTATCGCTGTTCTCTAGCTGGTCTAAACCCGCTTTTGACCTAAAGGGACACTTTTTGGACGCCATGGACTTTTCTCAGTTTCCAGGCAGAAAGAACAAACAAAATACAGGCAGGGCACAGGACAAAGCACTCGGGACAAAATGTATGTGAAATGGGTTAAAACAGCAATGTTTTACTATGTAAAATTTGTTTGGAAAAAAATGAAATTTTTTAAAATTTTCAAATTTCCCGCCGGCGGCGACTGTACGTCCCGACGTCACAGGGACCGGAACACAGAAGCCGGATGCCGGCATCGGTCGGAGGAGATGGCCGGGGACGCTGCAGGGGACACATCGCGGGAGTGCAGGACAAGGTAAGCTCTGCAGGGAATCCCTATGCAGCGCCACATGGTAAGCCCGAGTGTAGCTCGGGGGTTACCACTTTTGGTACTGACATTTTACCCCGAGCTACACTCGGGAATACCGCTAGGGAGGTTAAAGGCATGTAGGTCCTTTTGGGCCGCAGAGTGGAGGTGAGGGGGCAATTTAGCCACAGGAGGATTATCATTCACCATCACTTGAAGTGTATTGTGTGATCACTTGCATTATTTTTATCGCATGGAGTGGAGCGTCATTATCTTATGTATGGACTTTTTTCACTTGTGATACTGATTTAATGCTCACTATTCAGATTAGTGAGTGGGATTGGGGTCACATCTTGTCTACTGTGATTCATTCCATCTTATGATCTCATGATTCGGTCACCCTATTGCATCATTGGATGTGTGATTTTTATATTGTGATTATTGAGATTATTATCATTAATCAGAGTTTTATATTTCTTCTCATCATGATGTTATATAGTTAGCACTGCACTATTTTTATTATTGAATACCCAATCGATCTGTTTCTGGAGCGGACAAAAAAAAGGGTCCTGCATGGTTTTTGGTGCAAATGCAGTGTGATTTGAGCCATACAAAGTGTATGGCTCTAATTGCACCACACAGAAATCACATGTGATTTGCACAAGACTGTGGTGCGATTCCTGTGCGAATCACATGTGATGTGCAGTGTGAACTGGCACTAATTCAGATATTTTGTTTGCTAGGCTCATCCTCCACATCATAATGTATAGTGGGAATGGGCTATGAAAATAATTGATACATCTCTACAGCTAATGATCTGATAAAGATATTATCTAATTAAAAATTATTTATAACAATCATATGATTCTCAGACACAATGAAAGCGTTGTATATTTCACAATACTCACAGTATATTAAAAGCAGTGTGAATCTTCATAATTCTGACAGCTGTCATTTAAACCATAGGTTTACATCTGCTGCTAATTATACCACAGGGGGTAATGTTGAATGGATCATGCGGTTCTTTTTATGTATAATTTTAGTAATAGATTAGAAAAATTAGCAAGTAATGCCATTTATGAATCTGCATTACACATTGAATAAGGTTAAAAAAAATAAAATAATTATATAAAATTGTTAATGGTAATAAATATCATATCAGGTTGTAATTGGTGTCCACATTTCATAAAGGGGTAAATACTGAAAAGCTAGAGCATAAAAAAAATCCTCTTAGTAGCCTCCTTCCAGGTGGTCTTGCATTATATGTGAGTATATTGGGGGCCTACCTGCGGGTGGGTGCAGTGTGGTGTGCAGTTAACAAAGCTTGTATTGAAGAAACGGCACAAAGATACAAATAGCCGAATAGGGAAGGCACTCAACTGGTAAAACTCACAGTTTTGTGCAGTAAGGCAAAGTGGAGCAGGATCTGATGGACCAACAGTGTCTGTATCTGAAAATGGAATGTGGCCTGGCCAGTTTGAGCCCAATGGGGAGGATTCCCAAGAAGGATAGCAGGTCCCTATTCTGACCCTACTCATCTGGAACCTTTCCTTTGTCCCCGAGTCACATGGAACAGAGGCATCCAACCAGATCACTGCTCAATGATCCAGGAAACCATAGAGAAGC